CCGATTGGCGACATGCCAAATTTAACGTAACCAAAACGCAGGCGTGTCTATTCTCCACAAAACGGAGTCCCTCTGAGCTGACTCCAACTTTTCGTGATATACCTATCCATACCGATATCCGATTGTCTCCAGCTACTTGGAATGGACCTGTCGTCCAATTTGTACTTCGGCAGATACATTGAATCCATGGCCAAACGTGCAGCAAGGAAGCTTGGGATCCTTTCCAGGGTGAGGCGTTATTTCACACCGGGACAAGCACCATATCTTTCTACGTTAGTTTTCATTATAGTGACCCTCCTACCTAGCTACCCTTAGGGCATACGGCATACGAGGACACTATAACCTGTGCGCCCAGATCAGCCAGTGTACAGGGTTCTCACAGACCTCTGTCACTTGACTTCATCCGGTTTTTCTAGAGGCTAGTGCCTCGGGTGAGCCGTCCCGGATGCACGTACAGTACCCTCTTTATTTTTCAGATAGGTACCGGAGCTGTAGGCGTTCACTTACCGTTGCACATTGCACAACCAGCAGTTGCCACCGCTAAGCCGTCGACTCTGAGTCCACTACCAAATCTCCTCATTGGTGGCGGAGCTGTAAGGTACGCTCACTTTCCGACGCCGAGAAACGACGTCTCTCCAGTTCCCAATAATCTAAGCGGCAGGCAGGACCGGAGGATATCTAGCTTATTAAATTACTATTATATTATTATTAGATTACTAGCTCTCCGGGCTAGTGCCGGAGATGCCAGTCGCAGTGTCCTTCGACAATGTTCCAACTTAAAGGGCAACTCACGTGTCTCGCGCGCCCCTCGCATACAGGCCCTCAACTAGACCGCTACTAAAACACGCTGGCTGCTCACGAGACAAACGCCCGGACACATGCAAAACCGGGGCAGACAAATATGTCCGTCACCCTAATCCAAACCCTATCTCTCGGGTCAGTAGATAGGGACATCTCGGGTCGGTTGATAGGTATATCTCGGGTCGGTAGATAGGGACATCTCGGGACTGTAGATAGGGACAGTTGCTTCAGCTATACTAAGCACAAGTCCGGTTGTGCATGGAGTACTGTTGCCACCTTTACTGTGTGCCAAGAAGCTTATAGGTGGCTCGGAATTAGTGAAGGCGAAGCTGCCGAGCCTTGAACACCGCCGTAAAATTGCCAGCTTGTCGGTATTTTACAGGATATATCATGGAGAGTGTGCGATGGAATTACACGATTTAATTCCGCTTTCCCCTTTCCATCACCGGGGGATTAGGCGTAGACTTGAGTTCCACCTCTATGTTGTGGATATTCCAAAGATTCGCGTATACGATACGCGTCATCGTGCGTTACGCTTCCACATTTATATGGCGAACGTTATAACTTGGGCCTTTTCATGGCAAAAGTGAATAGGCATTAATCTATCGTCGACCTCATGGTCACTTTCCATCAGGTGAGATGGAGGTCAAATGCGAACTTACATTTTGTTTTGTTTGTAGGTTTTATCTTAGAAAAGTCATTTTCTGGCGTCGCCATTTTCACATACACAATACGGATGTATGCGCGTGCCTACGATTGGAGCGCCTGATCGAACTGAACGGCGCGGCGCGCCGATTGCATTTGTCGGCGGCGGCGGCGCGAGGGAAAACGCGGCGGCGGCGACGCGCCGGCGCGGCGCTCATGTCTATAGCAGACCCAAATGCGCGCGAGCGGGTGACTGAAGCTCCTTTGACGCGGTCTCAAAAACCGACAATTATCCATTCGACACAGAGAACATTCGAGTGCGGCAATATTCGAGCTGCCGCGCGCGGTAATCCCGTCTCCTTAGCGCGCGGCCGTAACACGACCCAATGTTCGAGGGTTTGCAGCGCGTAATGTATACGCAGCTTAACAGTTATGTCGCGCTACACACTGGATAATTTCAACACAATTTTTCTGGCGATAGTCAATAACAAGTTATTGAAAAAAGTGCCATATAGCTTGTCTATTCATTTCAATTATCAATGAAATAGTTTTTTTTTATTATTAACTAATTTGGTAAGCACTTTGTTTAATCAACTTGCTATTGAATATCCTCAGAAAAATCTTTTTGAAATTATCCCGTATGCAACTGTTACGTAACCTGTCACTCCTCTTACACCGCGCAGCTACCTCAGGAACCGACTCAGTTAAGCGGTAAGCCTGTAGCTACATTAGTTATAGATCATTTATAAAGGCTGTAGGAGTAATTATGTGGTTTTGACTGTTCACAAAAGTATTTTATTTCCGTATAGTGGAGTATCTACTAGTGGAACTAAGCGCTACGTTCATGTTGTGAATTGTAAATATATTACTATAATAACATGGAAATAGTACAAAAAATACACTCCTAATACAGTTATTATCAGCCGGCTGATCGCGTAATTCAAAAGATAGGGCGGTGTCTTTGATATTCTTTCTTTATCATTCAAAATTTTACTTATCGATACTTCGGGAAGAAAGTATCGAACCACGACGTTTGCAAGACGAGTAAAAAATTCTTTATAAATGTTTGGGATCATATCTTTTATTTACGTAAAAGCGCCATACTTTGGCGAATAACAAAAAATTAGGTAAACAGATCGAATAAGTAGGAAATTTAACACAACTACATCAATAACTAATTTTTGATTGAAAATTAGTTCTTCATCTTTTCTTCCAGAATAACCAAATAATTAGAAAATATTATCGTTAAAATGGCAACACTCGAAATTTTTATTTTAGATTATTATATATAAAATAAACGGCAACACTGAGCCGGAAAAACTGAGCCACCAGCTATCTTTCGCCTTACGTAGTTAGCCTCTTGGTCTATATTTTTTAACACAATTAGATTTTACGTAAGATTAAAAAGTCTAATGCCCCAAGTCAGTGAAAAGGCCTTAGCTTTACAGGATGTCTAGCAAGTTGCCTTCAAAATTCTAAACATCAAAAACTAACAACATTTTTTCTGCGACTTTTGAACATCCAGATTTTTTAGTTTTCTGTTCTCTTTTCCATAGTTAATATTTTTGTTCACTTTACTATTTTAATTGGTCAGAAACATGTTTTGTCGCAAATTTACAAAATCTCTTGAACAAAATTTGTTTGTTTTGAAATACTCGGAAAAAGATGGATAAGCTTCTTGAATTTTGGCGTCGACTTGACAGGTACTGTTTATAAGAGAATTTCGCTCCATGTATAGACCTCATTTGGAAATAAGCAGACAACTCAGGTAAGTAGTTAAGTTAGTCCCATTGAGCTAAAATTTTAACAGATCTCATCATTAACTTACAACAAATTTAATTCTATTTAAATGCATTCTACTTCATAAGAAGTTTTTTTACAAATGATATGGCAAATAGTATATTTTCTACTATATAGGCATTTAGTACCAAAATTTTAAGTTATACTTCAACAGGTACAATATTTGTTTACAAAATATGTTTTGGTAATTTTTTGACGCAATCAAGCTACGAATTTTTAAAATATTTCCTTCTAAAATTTAGAAAGAAAATGGCAACTTAAATAATTTTATTAGGTACAAATTCAAAATGCCCAATAATTAGTATGGACGACAGAGAGCCCTTGAAGGCAAAGTATGTGAGAGACTTGATAATTAAATAAATACAATATGGTAACAGCCATCGTGATCAAACACAAAACTTAACTGTACAAATACGTCGGCTAAAGTCGTAAACTTCGTACCTCCATCAATGTGAACGTTTGAGTACCTAAGCACAAAAAAACATAATTCCTAGAAGTAACCATGTGACAATCTTTGATTATACCTTAATTTTATAATTAAAAGAGATTTACACACATATATATGTATATATATATATATATATATATATATATATATATATATACACACACATACATACATACATATATGTGTGTGTGTGTGTGTGTATATGTATGTATATATATAATAAATATAGAAATAGTAAATATAGAAATTATATGTATTTTAAGCTTTGCCCAATACTGCGCTTGAAGAGTAAAAAACGAGATTTCGTCGAAAAACGGTATTACGAGGTTTTCAAATTTAGACGACGAATAGTAATTTAAAGCTATAACATAGGTATAAATTATTAAATGATATTACAAGCACGTACCTATAAAGAGTATGTAGGTATAGTCTGCATCATAACTAGCAGTGTATCAAAATATCAGAGCATTTCATACAATTCAATCAACTTTTTCAAACCTCTTTAAAAGAAGAATGGCGATAGCTGACCCAATAATAATTAAAATCAACGAAGAGCCGTTCATGGACGTTGCTACTATGATTTTACGTTTTAGTTTATGCCTAGTTATCAATATATTTTTGTATATTTTTAGAATTCAGGAATAAAGAAATTGTAAAATAATGTATTTTAGAAATGCAAGAACACAACGCAATTGATCATTTCGACTATAGATTAGGTAATGTTCTTGTACGTACGTTTCATTTTAAGCAAGATTGAATGTTTACCTACCTGAAGTATTGGTTATTTTATAGTACACACATAAAATATTAAAGCTATGAAATACTTAATGAAATAATCAATTATATTAAACAGTAATGACATAAAATAAAAGACAATGTGATCAAAAATGTTTAGACAATATTTAAATGAGAGATAAGAAAGTCACAATCCTTTCCTACGTTCCTACGTTTTGACAAGAGGCCTCTTGCCAATGTCAATGTCACATTGAGATTGAAAACAATGCGACCATTTGTCGCAGATTTCTGCCATTTGGGCAGATTTTATTTTATTAATTTTCATTGCGGCAGATCATGTTAGCATTGCATTAATGTGGCAGAGTTTGGCAGATTTGGGAATATTCAGCAAGTTCTTTATTATTTTTGGGAACAAACTGAAAACTTGTTATTTTCTGCTACTGCGAACAAACATTATGAAGCGAAATACAGGACAATGTTATAAACATAACCTACATCAACTTTATAACCCCACCTTCTACAGGCTGTACCTACTCAATTAGCTTTTTTGATGCTATGATAATGAATCACAAGAATTGATAGGTCTCTTTAATGCACGTCGTCAAAAACACTGGGTCACAAAATACACGGGATGTCGCCATTCTTCTTTTAAACGAGCATCTACCTTAAAGTCTTTTATATAAGGTCGTTTTGTCAAATGTTCCAATATTTTTTAACTCACTTTGACGCTGACAAATTCTGCTCTTTTCTTTGGAAAATTCCTACACCTTTCATCTGCAACTGATTGCCCAATAACCGTTTAAGGGCGCCTTCAAATGAAACGCTTACAGAAGCTTTGCAGTGGCGCAACTGTTACTTTACTAATTGTTCAAATCAAAGAAATTGTATTTTGGGTACTTTCAAACATGGTATGATATACATAAAAAGTATATATTTAAGTTATAAAGCAAAAAAATGCTATTTTGTGGCTTATAATAACTTAGGTACGTGAGAGGTATGGAGATATTGTATGAAAATAAATAGTGGCGCGGCTGTCACAGACGCGCGCTTCAGTAAGCGTCTAATTTCAAAACGCCCTAAGATTTGAGTTATTTCTCTTAATTCAAAATTGAAGTTAAAGATAATAATTTTAGTTTACTGTACAGCATATTCACAGAAATCATGAGCGCCGGTACATTCGACACTTGGTCGATGCGTTGAGTCCCAAATACCAGGTCCGCAACGTTGGCACATACCAGCTAGAGTGCAGGGAATCCGAGGCAACTGACGAAACTGGTGGAGCAAACCACGGGCCTTTCGTAGAATTAATCGACCATCCATGTACATAGCTGAAAAGTATTGATTGCCATATTAGTTATCAGACGAACTATGAGAAAACTATAGCAATTAGGCACCAAAGTTAACTCTATAGGAAGTGCATCGTATGTTCTAACAATTACGTTGTTTATTAAGTAATCAGGACATTTTGTAATTATTAGACGAATGCTCGTACACACCATAGTATAAAAAGACAAGTATGGTAACTCTGTACAAATGTTGACGAGTTTCTGTATCTGGCTTGCATGTGTGTACGACCGCCGCGCGCCGTGAAGGAATGCACAACATACACATAATCTCGCGATGCACTCGTATTGCACAGCACGGGTTGTCGCACACATCATAAAACAATGGAATGATTTTGTAAATTTTAGCGTTTGCGATTGTTTGTGCCTCAAATTCAGAATTATTCAGCATTTTATGTATTTCATAATCATACTCCAACAATCCAATATAAAAATATCAGTACCTGGGCGGTGCTGCAGTCTCTCCAAACGTGCCAAGTAGACTATAGGTATGTCGAGGTGTTAAGGTACCTATACAAAACGCCACTATGTCAGTCCGATTACAGGATCAGAGCTCTAATCCTATCCAACTGCAACGAGGTTTGAGACAGGGAGATGTGATATCTTCGAAATTGTTCACTACTGCGTTGGAGGATATCTTCAAGCTTCTGGACTGAAAAGGACTTGGCATCAACATCAACGGCGAGTATCTAACACACCTTCGATTTGCCGATGATATAGTTCTTTTGGCTGAGACCTGTACACAATGCTCGAAAATCTCAGTAGTGTTTCCCAAAGAGTGGGTCTTAAGACGAACATAGACAAGATGAAGATTATGTCGAATGCCCATGTTGTACCCGCTCCTGTTAAAATTGGGAGCACTACACAACACTCGAAGTTGATGACCATTACGTGTACCTGGGACAGACAGTCCAGTTAGGTAAATCCAACTTTGAGAAAGAGATCTCTCGTCGAATCCAGCTCGGATGGGCAGCGTTCGGGAAACTACAAAAAATCTTCGCGTCCAAATTACCTCAATGTCTCAAGACGAAAATCTTTGACCAGTGTGTGTTGCCAGTGATCACATATGGATCGGAAACGTGGTCCCTCACTATGGACCTCATAAAAAGGCTCAAGGTCACTCAGCGGGCAATGGAGAGAGCGATACTCGGTATTTCCCTACGTGATAGAATCAGAAATGAGGAAATCCGTAGGAGAACTAAGGTAACCGACATAGCTCGAAGAATTGCTCAGCTGAAGTGGCAGTGGGCGGGGCACATAGCTAGAAGATCCGATGGCCGTTAGGGCGGAAAGGTTCTTCAATGGCGACCGGACGTACCGGACGACGCTCAGTGGGTGGGCCCCCCCAGCAGGTGGACACACGATCTGGTAGAGGTCGCGGGAAGCCGATGGATGCGGGCAGCGCAGGACCGATCGTCGTGGAGATCGTTTGGGGAGGCCTATGCCCAGCAGTGGGCGTCGTATGACTGAATGATGATGATGGTGATATAGAATAGAATTCCTCACCTAAAGAGCTGAAGTGTAATAGCATCTCGTCGGTATTAAGATCTTGAGCGATGACGTCATCAGCATACACTGCTATGATAGCGAGACAAAGAAACAGATGGAAATAGTCCGTCTGATAGTTTGCCCAGCAGGCTTCCCACATGCGAAGAGCTACGGATTCGGTGAACTCACGTTTGAAGCACCTGAAAAATTAAATTGCACATTTAGAAGGCACAACTTTAATATTGGGAGAATAAATTAAAGTCATAACGTTATAATATAACCTGCAATTACTCTATATAATCATTCAGACAAAAATATTCCGCCAAAAGTTAAACTCGGCTAAGAAAAGGTAAAAAGTGTTTCCCTTTTTTTAACATAATAAAAAACAACCCATTAAAACGATAGATTTAGTCAAAACAAAGAGTCCGCTTAAAGGCCTGTTCATCTGAACAGATAATAATATATAGATATATTATACGCGTTATTCGCTTAGATATGAGCGCCGATAATAGACCAACCCACGGTGGCGCGCCGACGAAAAAGTGCTGGCGGCGGTGGTTCGGCGCCGTGAGCGCGAGCCCTAAAACGAATTTGTATAACGGTGTTTGTTTTTACAAAAACCGTTATACAAATACTTTTTCAAAGGAAAAAATAAAATAACGTATTTTCTATAGTAATCAAATTTTTATCAGTTCGATCAAGCGCTCCAATCGTACGGACTGAATGTTTCCATATTGTGCATGCGTAGTGAAAATGGCGACGCCAGACAGAAAGTGACTTTTCTAAGATATTTTTTTTTAATTAAATGTAAGTTCGCATTTGACCTACATCTCACTTGATGGAAAGTGACGATGAGGTCGACAATGGAGCATCACACCTAAATAATGCCTATTCACTTTCGCCTTGAAAAGGCCCGTTATAATTCCACTCCATAGCCGTTCGCTATATAAATGTGGAAGGGTAACGCTTCGTGCGAATCTTTGGAATATTCACAACATAGAGGTTCCACGTATACGGAATTTTCAAATATTGAAGTGCGCGCGCGCTTACGATCGGAGCGCCTGATCGAACTGAACGGCGCGCCGCGCGCCGATTGCACTTGTCGGCGGCGGCGGCGCGCCGGCGTGGCGCTCATATCTATATTCGCTACCGGTGTGGGTAGCGAAATCCGAGTGGGTACATACGCGGTATTCCCACTGTTTAAACCTAAGCGGATACCGCTGCCGTTAAGGATAGCGAAAACCATTATTCATTATCATTTGCAATTATTATGTAAACTAATCATCATTGACTTGGTTGTGTGGAGGAATGAATTTGCTACTGCTCCCGTTTCGCAAAGGAAACGAAAAGATACCGCCTACCTGGGCGGTATGGTGCGGTATTCCAGTTTCGCTCTAGCCACGGAACTTCATACAAATACCCGGCGGGATACCGCGCGATATTTTTCACTATCCACTGGGGTAGCGAATATCGATTGTATCTGAACAGACCTTAATAGTGAAAAACTTGCTTTTAGGGACGTATTCCAGAACTCTACTCAATGCTCAAGTCAGGATTTGAGTATGATATCAAGCACTGGAAATACGACCCTAATGGCAAGAACTTGAATATGATTTCTAGTGCTTCAAATCACACTTAGATCCTGACTTAAGCATTGAGTAGAGTTCTGGAATACGACCCTAAGTATTGTGATAAGTTTCTAATTGTATGTACGAACAACTTACAACAATATCCAACGATGACAAAAAAGAAGTTCCATAGCGTCAACGTGTTTCTCCAAATGTTTGTAGAAGTGTGGCAGCATTATTCTTATTAATTCACGGAGGTAGCTCTAAAAGGGTGAATAGACGCTTATGACTAGTTTACCAAAACTTTTAAATTATAATGCACATGGGGATATCGATAAAAAGCAACATGATGTACTATTTTTGCAGTGGTATTAATGGATTTGCAAGATCTGAGTATATAAAAACAGACACTGGAAGACGTAGAATAAGATTCAAAAATCCTATCAGAATTAAAATTTCAAGAATAAACTGTTGAAATTGGAGAATTTTGTTTAATGCTAAATTTTGTTATTAAAATTTTATTATTTTTATTGAAATTGGTTATTTCCAAAATTTTTGCTTTCGCCAAAAATTGAGGCATCCTAAACTGTTTTTAAAATGTATACACGCATATATCCCATTTATGAGAATAGTATGCATGGTTACCTTCAAAATATTTTGTGAATGCTACTAACGCAAAATAGTTAAGAAAAAAATATTACTGTATTGTAGTGTTTTAAGTGCCTGTTAAAATCATGTTAATATATGTTTAGTAACATTTTTATTTTTTGAGTTGTTAATTGTTATCATTTTTGTAATTTCTAAGCTTAGAATAATAACGCATAGAAACCTAGCCCGCACACGCCAAGTGAGGCAAGTTAGAGGCTTCCCAGACGGCCTACACGAGCGGGCGGGCTGTCAGTGTTCAAGGTCAAATTGCACCGCAAACAGCTCCAAAATTTTTGCTAAAAATGACGAAATGTGCGGCAAATGGAAGTAAAAATAGAACAGGCAAACATCAAATAGACACTAACATCACATTCCACAAGGAAGTAACGCGTTTCAACTTGTATTTTTATATAAATATTCACTAAAACCGAAAATTAATTTAGTTGCAACAAGACACGAAAATGTTGCAAAGTAACGGATTTCTTTCTCCCGATTTTGCTATTCTGTTTCAAAATAATTATATTACGTAATTTTTTGAGAATAGGCAATATCGCGATGGCTGCAGATTTTTTTTTATTCTAATGTAAATGTGCATTTGACCTCCATTTCTGCAAGTTAAATGCGTACAAATGTTGTTTACAAAGAGCAACCCCCAGAGTTTCTTGCTCATACTTCTCGGGGGAATCTGCCTTACGAATGAGCGGTAGAGTTTAACCAATGTGACGATTTCTAGTGTAATAATGCTTACCTATGAAATAAAGATTATTTTGATTTTGATTCTGGGTATCATTTACGGGGTATATGGGGGTGCTCATTACGAATATAGTACTTATTTATAAATCCAAGATGGCGGACACAATTTAAAAAAAAGTGCAATATGGGTATCCTTTTCGAGGTATTTGGGGATGCTCATTACAAATATGGCACTCATTTCTAAATCCAAGATGGCGGGCGCGATTTTTCGAATAATAGCAAGTTGGGTATCGTTTTCGAGATATTTGGGGGTGCTCATTGCGAATAAATAAATAAATAAATAAATAACGCACACACTCAACATAGCCCCGCACTAGGGAAGCCCTGTGTCGCGGGTGCCATGGACACACACATAGACAACCACAAATTACACCCAAACTCACGAGAGATATAATTGTAGGCCATACAACTATTTCTCTCGGCCCGGGAATCGAACCTGGGACCTCTGCGTGGCAGTCCGGCATGGTAACCGTTCGGCCACGGAGGCAGTTTAAATATAGCACTTATTTGTAAATCCAAGATGGCAGACACGATTTTTCAAAAAATGCTATATGTGTATCCTTTTCGAGGTATTTGGGGATGCTCAATTCGAATATGGCACTCATTTCTAAATCCAAGATGGCGGGCACGATTTTTCGAATAAATGCAAAATGGGTATCATTTTCGAGGTATTTGGGGGTGCTCATTACGAATATAGCACTCATTTCTAAATCCAAGATGGCATCTCTCTCTCTCGATCACCTTGGATTTACAAATAAGTGATTTATTCCTTTTTCATCGACAAAACCGAGCATATCTGTAGGCACCTGATCGACATTGTCGATCGACAGTAACGATCGACAAAATCGAGCACATCTGTAGGCACCTGATCGACAATGTCGGGCAAATCTGTAGGCACCTTTAACTTAATGATGAGTTAAGCAAGATACAATTTCCCCACTTTTGAGGGAAATGTTATTCCATGGCATCATTATTTGTATATTTGTGTGCGTGCCGACGAGCGTAGTTACAAGTTGCTTACGCCTACATGAATTTGGTTTTTGCCTCACTTGTGACCGTTCGTTTGATATGAAACTATCATTCTATGCGTTATTATTCTAAGTTTCTAAGTATAAAAATCAAACAACTTTGAAGTAAATTTTCTCCAAAACCGTATACATTTTATTTTAGATTATTAAAACGTATCGCATTGCTTCAATCGAATCGACAGTTCGAAGAAGAGATAACTTTTGTCTTGGGGACATGCTAAGCCTGCTGGTCTGACAGGATTTTTGAACATTATGTGTAGTTTTATTTTTCTACAGTTTGCTTCATAGAAAAAGTCTTATGGACAGTACAAGCGGCATCGATGAAATTATATTCAAATTTATTAAGGCACAAGGACTTACAAGATTGTTATCCATATCATTGTCGGTGGGGGTGCACACAAATATGGCTCTCTGCATGAGGCCGACGAAACACCAGAACGCCTCCGCCTCGCACTTAATCTCACATAAAACTGGAGCAAGTAGATCGCTCATTCCTTGCGTATACCTATTGATATAAAGAAGGTTCGTTACTGTCTACTTGTAGTCTTTTATTAAGGCTATTATACACTATACAAGTAAGTAATTCTAATTCAACGACCTAGGTGTCCTAAGGGCGCGTTCCCACTATATCGTGACGACGGATTGTCATGCAGTTTATAGTGTCGTAGCTTGTATATTTAAATGAAGTTGTTCGCATATATCACGACACGATTATCTGTCGTGCACGATTTTTTATCGTTACAACGACAAACTGTCGTCATCGTGGGAACACCTACAACAACAGTCGTCGGAAGATAAAAAAGTCACGATAAAAACGTGACGACAGATTGTCGCAGCTCCTATTATCATCACGTTTTATTTATCGCTGTCCGCACGTATTCTGCTCCCTGCCCTCCCCTCTCTGCTCGCATTGCAGTAGCGTTGAGTCGTAGCCAGAGATGGGCAAGGAGCCTGTCGTGAAATGATAAATTGTCGTCACGATCTAGTGGGAACAGCTAGGCACGACAGTCGTTCAACGATAAAAAATCGTCCACGACAGGTAGTCGTGATATGGGAACAGAGTAGACAATAAAAAGTCCAACGCTAATAAAACGTGACGACATAGTGGAAACGCACCCTAACAGTTTGCACTGAGGGCGCTGAATGAAGCTTCGGAAAGGTCAATTTAGAAAATGTTTCAATCGTTCAAATTCGTTCAGATTTGGCTGTTCTGGATATTCCGTGTACTCGTAATACAGGGAATTCCCTAATCAAGAGACCAGGTAATTAGTATGATTGTCTGGCACATTATTACATATATTGTAATTAGTAATGGGTCAAAAAGATCTAACCTCTACAGGGCAAGATAATACACGTACACGTACAAATACGAAAAAGAGCTACGTAGAAGCATAGGTGTTACTTACCTAATTGTGAAATGTGCCAAAAGTTTTGAGACTAATTTATTTAAAGTTAACCTTAATGGAAATAATTAAAACTTTTTAGTGCTGGAATATTAAATCCAACTTACCCAAGAGCCGGGTTATAAACTGCGTAATTCAGCAAAATGTTCTTCATAATCTCTATATTGTAATTGTTGTCGCCTGCAAAGAATGGATTGCCTCTATCTGTCCTAACCACATCTTTCTCTATAACACTTTGCACTGACTTCCAAAACATCGCGTTCTGTTCCGGAGTCATCTTTTCGAGCCGTCTCTTTGATATTTCGTCGTATTCTCTGGTTCTAATCTGTAGAATTATTTCCCTTTCATCGTAAGTAGAATTATACGGATAGCAATGAAGAAGGAAAGGCCAAACTTCTCTTCTAAGCTCCTTGTCAAGGCCACCGAAAAAGATGCATTTTCTTAAGAAAAGATCATCCTCAATAACTCCTTTTCCGTTCATTATTTTTCCGTAGAACAGTTCTGGGGTGATCTTGGGTACTTTCTCTTCTTCGGGATGTTGTTCGGATTTTTGAACTTCTGGACGGCATACCATGAAATGTCGATATGGCAGATTGGGTTCTTCGGAACCTGGAAGCGACGTTTTATTTTGGAGTTTAACAAGTAAAGTTTCTTAACAACTGGGTTCGAATTTAGTATCATTCACTGACTTTTACCTGGTGTAAGTTTGATGTTGTGCAACAGCGAATGCCATCTATGCAAAACTTGTGCTAAGCGATCCAGTCCACCATGGTGGAAATGAAGAATTTTATACTGAGACTCCCTGGAGGCTACAACCAGTTGTCCGCAAGTACAATTGTCGTCGTTGAAAAACAGTCGCAAAGATCGCATTTGACTCAGATCCACTGAAAACCTGGTAAAGCAGGTAAGTAAATTCGTTATATACAATTCATAATGCAAAAAAACATCCAAAACATAACAATGTGTACATGTTTAATTATATTCTTAGTGTGTACCAAAAACTAACGCAAACTTGCTAATAATTGTTTATAAAATCATGGATTGAATTCAAACACTAGAACTGATATGCTATCGGAAATTCATGGCCATATTCACACATTTAAAATTATAAATTACTTAATTTGCTGCGGTTTATGTCAAGATACGCAAAAGCGACATATAATAGATAGAATCGCAAGAATGTATATTCAAAATAATGACGTGTGGATTTTGAATTCACTTGGTCCCAAAAGAATGAGCTAGACCATGGCCGGAGAGATAATAGCATTCCGTTGAGAGAGACGAGTACGAATTACTAATGAATAATTGCTTACATGAGTCCACGTTCATTAAATGGCATCCTGACCTTGATTTTCCGGAGATATTCGAGGTAACCCTCCACCTACATATTTCGCTCATCAGCCTTCGCGTACGATTTATAACTCAGTTCGTATAAAATTGAAACGTTATTTTAAGTGATTCATGGTAGACAATGCAAACAATCTTTCACAACATTTTTACATTGAAACAATAAGTGGATATGTTGGTAAACAAAAACATATTACCTACGTTACAGATACAATGGAACCAAGTCCATTTCAAACAATTATTAATGGTTACGCAATTAATAACATTTTAATCAACTAACGACAACATCAATGTTATGATAAGACTAAATATTATTAAATGAAGTAGCGTAAGTGAGAGAACTAAAGTGGAAACCTACGTAAAATCGATACCTAACACTTCCCTATATCTGTGAAAATATGTACATACATAGGTACTAATGTAAAACGATGTTCTAGACTTTGTAAGTAGGTACTAACTCACCTTCGACATTTAATAGGTGCCCTTCTTTGTGGCACTGGAGAGCTATGTACGCTATCAGGAAATACTAAATTGTGCTTGAGAGCAAGGAACTCAGGAGTGCTCATCCAGTTAGGATTGAATTCATCACATGAACTCATCGACAATGATCTGATGAACCGGTCGCCCGATTGTGAATCAGGGGTCAAGTCAATATTTTCTATATTCGGATTAGCAATAACTATATTAACCGACGTCATTGACTGTGATCGCACATGTTTGTCGTACACATACACTTCATCTTTAGACTCATCTTTCTCAAAACTTGCAAAAACATTGTCTTTATTGGAATCAACCGATTTTACCGTCGGTTTTGAACTTGACGATAGTTCTTCTTGTGTAGTATCATTGTTAGTGTACCTAGTATCATTAGATTTGATGCTTTGCTTGTCTGAGTTAGAATTTATGCTAGTCGTTTCTGAAGAATCGGAAAATGCATTTTCGTTATTCGTGTCATGTTTGCTTGTATCATTTTTTTCGTTTTGTTTAATTTCTTTAGGACTTGCAGGTTTTACCCCGCTTCCAAGTTCATCGCTTGGACTGGTTTCTACAGCTGAAGGGCATTTTCGTAAAGTAGAATTCGGAATCCAATTCAAGAAGAGCGTGGGTCGTTTTGAATTGTTGTGTTGATCCGTGAACACTTTTGTCGTCACTGTCAAGTATCCTGGGTGATGAATGATGTCCAGCTCATGCCTGGCAATAGTAGGAGGATGTACACAGACATTATTCTTACAAAACAATATTTCGTTGTCGACATAGTCAGGTGGTTCTTCATTGTCGTCGAATTCTAAACCGAGAAAATAGCTAGAGGCTCGTTTCAACAGTTCTGGCAGAGGCATTTTCAAGAACGATTGTTCACATCTCCTAAATTACCCTGTGGGGTATTATTCAGTTTAATTTTCGTGTTATCTATCACTCGCGGCAGGCTCATTCAAGCGCTGTATGCGTACTACGCGCATACAAATATCCAGATAGCTGACTTGATAACGCAGTATTGATCGCCGGAACGAGAATAGCGCCGCGCCGCCCCGTTCACCACTAGAGTTAACGTCACAGCTGTGGGACACAATAAGCAGGAACGAATGCCTCTTCTCGAGTTACATATTATTTATATTCATTCCATATGAAGATATTACTTATTGATGACAATCTTAGGTCTGGGAATAAGAAAGTGATTTATAGTATTCGTATGTTAATAGGTACCTATAATTGTGAAGGAGTTAATAAAGGGAAAGTAGATTCGAAAGAAGTTTGTAGGTAACCAATGTCTTCTTTAGGTAGGTACTTTATAATAATACATAAGTACCTACATATCCAGGCTTCTATATTGAAAAAGTAGATTCCTAATAACGATATGTTGGAAAATATAATTACGTACTTTAAAAAGTCATTAGGTAGGTAGGTACACCGAAAGACATAGGCATATAAAGTCCCATAATTATTTTTTGTGATTTAAATAGACTTTACTTGACTTTACTTTAATTTACTTTACATTTTTTATTCAGGGACATAGCGTTTAAGGCTGAATGTATGTATCCATGAAGTATCTATGTATGTGACTGTTTTGGCTTGGTTTTGATAGTGAATAACAAGTGTCTAGATAGGTAGCTTAACTACGAGTGCTTGGTAGCCTAGGAAGCTAGGTATATACACTCGCCAGCACATCAAGCTATACATTGACGTATCTTGTTCCGTTGCACTAGGATCGATTTTCGAACAAAAATGTGTAGTCTGATGTGCCGTTGTCCGTACATGGATATAAAGAAACCATTTATTACATTTTTTGGCGACAGAAGTCGTCATATGTTCTATTCCCATCACCCCGTTTAATGCTGATGTATGTATATGACGAGACCTGTACTGTTTAATGTGACAAAACTATTGCGAACATTTTGCACGTCATATCGGTTAACAAGTTGGCCAATATACATTTTGAGACTCGGTTTTTCATTGCAAGTTTATATATAACGGCATAAGTTAACGGTTATGTTTTGTATATTAATCACAAATAAGATATGTTTGGGCCATTTGCGTCGTATTTTATGGGTAGACGTATATCACACTTTAAAGAACTAATATTACTAACAATTCTTTCAATGTATATAATTATGTACCCGAACACAGAAATTTGAAAGTTTGCAGTAAAGCTACCCTCCTACATGAAAATATTTGTGCTAGGGCACCAAAAACTGCACGTACAACAAGCAGCCGAGTCATATTCTTGATACAAACGACATTGCCAGTTTCAAATAGCGTTTATTAAATTTTAACTAGTCGTCGTAATTTTTTGATATTAAAAATATTTTTTATTGCTCTTAAACCAAACGTAATACAACTAAGCTTAATATAAAAAATCTCTGAGGCCTAAGAGTTCAGAGGGCACCATAATTGCCGAACATCTCAGTCGTATACATATAAATCGATCGTGTTAGTCAAAAATGGAATGCGACATTATATTTTTTATATCTTGAGTGTGTTAGCTGACCAAACGTCTAGTTTCCTCCTACCTTCAGCCTGTATTGCCAGTTTTCTAATAACGGGCTACCATATCCAATACGAACAACATGTTTGCTAATGAACGTCATGCCTACAGCAAAGTAAAAAAGATATTAGCATAAGATGTACACAATAAAGGCCCATTTAGATGGTGAGAGTTTCTCGTCTCGAAGACACGATTACCGAAAGAATATAAAAAACTTTCCTCGTCTAAACATTCGCGATTATCGCCTTTTGACGTGAGCGATAATCGCCTCGCCTTTCAATATTGAACGTCTTCGTATAAACAGAACTTAAAAGCAAAAATCGTATTTCGAGTTTTTGTGCCAGCCGTTTCTATCTTGAGTACAGTGCGCGAGGATGTTTTGATTATCACTGCTTTTCTAAGACAAGAATTAAGGAAACGAAAAGGAAAAAAAGGGTTCAGAAATGTTATAAAATTTAAAAAAAAATAAAAAAGTAATAATATATATTTCTAAATAGAGCAATGAACTTAATATTAGGGGTTAAAGTATGAAATTGCCGTTTTATTGCAATAGGTTCTTTGAATTTTCATAGAATCTTCATGGTTTGAGGTTTTCGAATGAAACTTTTTTCAAATGGTTTCTGTGATTTTTTTTTTTTAAATTTGAAACATTTGAATATCGACTTTCAATTGTTTTTGTTATTCAATTTAGACAAGAAAGATGGATACTGCGAAACTTCGAGTGATTTTTGAATACGAGTTCCGACGCGGAACTAACGCGGCAGAAACAGCCCGCAATATCAATGCTGCGTTTGGAGAGGGGTCTACTAATGAACGCACCGTGCGATTTTGATTTAAACGCTTTCGTGATGGAAATTTCGACTTAAAGAACGAGTCACGAGGAAGACCGCCCACACAGGTGAATAAAAATGAATTAAGAGAGATAGTGGAAGCCGATCCTAGTCAAACTACCCAGGAATTAGCGGCATGGTTTAACGTTACCTTACCCACAATATTGACTCACTTGCGTCAAATCAATAAAATAAAAAAATACGAAAAATGGGTGCCTCATGATTTGACTGATCTGCAGAAAGAAACGCGTGTTGAAACTTGTGTTGCCTTGTTGAACCGGTACAGAAATGAAGGAATATTGGATCGAATTGTAACATGTGATGAAAAGTGGATTCTTTATGATAACCGGAAAAGAAAAATGCAATGGCTGACACCAGGTCAAATGCCACAACAGTGTCCAAAAGCAAAACTTACCAATAAAAAGGTAATGGTAACTGTTTGGTGGTCTCAGCATGGTGTTATTCACTATAGTTTTCTTCGATCTGGTCAAGCAATAACGGCAGATGTCTATTGTGCCGAACTCCGAACCATGTTGACAAAACTAGCAGTAAAACAGCCCCGACTCATGAATCGATCTTCACCATTATTGCTCCACGACAACGCGAGACCTCACACAGCACGAGAAACCATTTTGACCCTTCAGGAACTGCAGTTAGAAACCATTCGTCATCCTCCGTATTCACCAGACCTTGCTCCATCGGACTACCATTTTTTTCGTGATTTGGACAATTATCTACGTGACAAGAAGTTTTCTTCCCAGGAGGCAGTACAAAATGCTTTCACACAGTTTGTGCAGTCTAGATCGTCGGAGTTCTATCGCAAAGGCATTAATACCCTTCCCATTAGATGGCAGCAATGTATAGATAATAATGGCAACTATTTTGATTAAATAAATTTGTTAAAAATTTAAAAAATAAACAATTTAGATTTTCAGTACAAATCGGCAATTTCATACTTTAACCCCTATTATTATCAGCAGTTCCAAATTTGAATGATTTTTGCGTCATTTTGATATATTCATTCATAGTCAATACCGCAGTAATCACTGAACTCGAATGGCAATTCTCGCACTCAAAACGGTTCGAACCGATTTGTACGATAATCGTATGAACTTGAAAAAATGTCATACGAGATCGTGTTTAGACAAGTCGAAAACTCGTAAGCAAGAATCTCCTTACTATATATTTTTCTCTGTGGAAACAGTCGAGGAGGCGATTAAGCTGCTTGCGAATCTCGTATGACATAATCGTAGGCGAGATTTTAGTTCTTGCCTCAATGTGAACATTATGATACGATAATCTTATGGCGATTATTTCTTACGATAATCGCGTACGATTTTTCGTCACGAAACTTGCGATAAACTCTCTCCATCTGAATGGGCCTTTAAGTGTTAAGCGCAGCGCCTAACGCTACGCACACTCTTCGTAACTCGGCAACTGGCAATCCGTAGCTACGTAGCTGTTTAAGACGTTTTCCAAAATAATTTACACGAAACTGCGCAGACGTAGCCATTTTAGTTGAAAGTAGAGATGGGTTACGGATAAATATCATTGGGATAAATACTCAGGATTAATATTCATTTTTACTCGATATTATCCAAAAACGTGGATAAATATTTTCAATCGTGGTTTATTATTTATATTTAGTAAAACAAAGTAAATTTTTAAGCTTAATTGTAAACATTGGTACAATTTAGTAGTATGTACATACTACTAAATTGTTCTACTACTAAATGTTGTACTACTAAATTACGTACGTATAGTGTATTGCTTGTCATACCTTTTTTCTATACGCAGTAATAAAAAGAATACTTTTATGCACCATAAATTCTTGTATTTTTGCCTGAACGTTATTATTTTTTAAACGCAATTTGTTAAAAAAAGGAATTGTCTCCACACAATATTAATCAGCTGTCTAACATTTTGCATGGATTTTTTTGTTCAAGTTACTAATTTGGTCCGTTATTGTACAGTAGTTCAAATTCGTATATAGAATATAAAGGATTTTGGTTGTTCAATATTTTATTTTTTTAAATTATACAGACTCCATTGGAAATACTTAAACTAATATATAAGATAATTAATATATGTATATATATATATATATAGATAATTAATTCTAATACAAAAGATATTCAATTCAAAATCGCTTGGCCACTATTTTGCAAAGCCTAAGCTAAATTCGCTACCGATTAATTTACATGAGTGCAAAAGAAACGGGGAGAGCCGCCAAGGAGAATTGTGTTCGCACTTCACATCAAAAGACTTTGTGCAATTTGTGAAATTTGAAAGAGAATCCTTGGTCTATTTAAAGTCCAAACATGACTTTATTTAGTACGCAACTACGCAGTAGGCCCCAAGACTATGAAGTTGGGTCGCAGTTCGCACTTTATTAACGCAGGATAGGTCAGCTCAAGGGTTATAGTTCATTTGATAACTTTCTGTCAATCTAATTTTCTATACCAGCCAACTTATAAGTTGATAATAGTTTAGGTAAGTATGTTGCAATTAGTTTACATTCCTACCATTAGTTGAGATTCCTACCAAGAGATGTTATCAACTCGAAAAACTTTTAGGTACTAAAACAGTATTGTTACTTATAAGAATGGCAAAATGAGAAGTAATCGTACTTAATTATTTAATAAAAAATGAATTCTAATGGCTTTTATTATAAAAAACACAAAAAAAAAAA